GCAACTGGTGTTGCCATATTTTGAATCCCTTGTAGCTGGGAGTCGGTCTACATTGGAACCACGAAAATCATACATAAATCATAAATCGTGTCTCAGGTTCGCCTACGGTATTCGCAAATATGAGCCAATATCTCATATTCATAGCTGAAACCCTAAAAATTGTTAAAAGTACAAGATGATGGTATAAATAGACCTTTATCCTTTTTGCTACCTTTTCAATGTGTCATATAACTCCATTTCCAATATATTATTCAAAGATTTTTATTCATTAACTGATATATTCTACTTAACTATTTCATTATAATGGTACAGGGTAAGAATATAATTCATAAGTACTATTACGTAACCCTGGAAAACATTGTGTACTCGTATAATAGTGCAAGGTACTGTACCATTTTCGTCAAAATGAATGGATCGATGGGAGTTTCGTGGTGGTCGTAGTAGTGGACGGACTAGCCGATAACGTCCGTCCACAAAGAAGGTACGCGGATACCACGTGATATCGCGGGGCTTCTATTTATGTTGTGATTATCTATTGTGCAAAGATGTTGAAGTTTATGTGAAAGTTTAGACAAAAATGTAAAGTGAGAGCCCCCTTTATTTACGCCGGTATCCAGGCCGGGGTGGTTTGGATAACCATGTAAAGGAGGCCATGTATGTGAATTTAAAACCCCGAAGGTTTCCCGAAGAGGAGGCGACTCAAAAAATATATATGAAAAAATCAAAAGGTCTTCCGAGTAGAAGGCGAAGAATAAAAAAGTTCGACAATAAAAAAGTTGAATTGTTTTCATCGTAATAAAGTTAGACAAAAAAGGGGTGGCAGCATTGCTCAAGCAAGAATGCTGCCCCCTCCCCGACGAAAGCTCGTGTCATCTTTGATAGGTCAAATGCTCCCTAGTGGAAAGCAAAGTCCAACAAAATTAGAGAGAGAACGGATCGATGCAGAAGTATTAGCATAACCCTATTCCCTATTCCCTATTTTATTAAAACAATTCATATGATCACCATATTTGTATTTCAGTTGACTGGGGACCATTAGCTCTACTTCCATGTTATCTGGCAGCCTATTTGAACGCATGGCATGTGGGACGCTGTTTGAGTATTCTTGTCATTCGGTTGATGGCCTTGGGAGTGGAACCACAATTCACGCATGTAATAGGTTTCAGCCTTGGAGCCCATATAGCTGGATTTGCTGGAATGAATTTGAAGAATTCGATAGGGTATTCTTTTATGAGAATAACAGGTAAGACCATTTCACTAAGCCACTTTTAGTAAAGAATCAAAGAAACTTGCACCAACAATATGAGTGGTTGTGAACTAGAGTTCAAATACAATACATGTATGATTCAACAACAGGCATCGCTGTGTCGACACGTCATACGTCTCATCAGTGGTGCCAGATAAACGAGGCTCCCCAAGGCAATCAGTTGCAAAGCCAAGCTTCAACATTAACCGCCAACGAAATGGTGGGTCGAAACAGCGCTGTCTGGTACTGAAAAAAAATTATTTGTGTTTGAGATCTAGTGTACAACTAGTTGCTTCGCATTGAAAGACAGAGGACGAATCTTGTTGACGGTCGCTGTCTTAGTTTGGCTTTGCAACTGTCTTGTGAAGCCTCGTTTATCTTTGACATTCGAGGATTTAGTTCTCTATCGATCCCTTAGATGGCGCCTTCGCAAAGGGAGATAATATCGCACACACTTACTTATAGAGTACCTACATGAGCAGAGATTTCGTCTTTAAGTTCTAGCTTAGCACCACTGAAAAGTTCTATGGCAAGTCGAAATAGCTCTGTCTGAAACAGAAACATGTTCTTTATTTTTGGACTTCAGGTTCAACTAGATGATTTAAGATACAGGGAAAGGAAATAGGACGCATATGAAAATTCGAAACGTATTCAAGTAATACTTTATTGTGAGATTTTCACTGAACACTGAAGTGTCTATCAAATAGAAGCTTGGCTTCACAACAGACCGTTTATTATTAATATTTGTGGACTGAGTCTTCTGTCGTTCCTATAGATGTTGTCTTCGTAAGAGAAAATGTCCAACCTGTTTTTGAAAGTGGTTGACGATGTTTCATGGTGAATTTCACTAGGTTGGACTTCCATTGTCTAATATGATTCTAATATGATTCGAAATTTATGAAAGAGAAAATAAAATTAAAATGAATAGCTAAAATATCAATTACATATAAGCAATAAAACGTGAAATGAAAATAATATTTTTTCTTGATTGCTTTATTGTATTCATTTTATTGTATTTTCATCTCACGTTTTATTGCTTATATATAATTGATATTTTAGTTATTCATTCTAATTTTATTTGCTCTTTCATAGATTTCGAATCATATTAGACAATGGAAGTCCGTACTAGTGAAATTCACAAATTCACAAAAAATATCCAAGTTTGCTTAGAAATATAGTACTTTTCAAATAAAAAACAAAATATAAAATGTGATAAGAAAATAATGATGTCACTTTCAAAGGAAAGTATATACTTGAGAATATGTTCGTCGCTAAACACAGCTTTTATAATTTCAACGCAACTGGTGTTGCCATATTTTAAACGAAATTAACTGTTTAAACGGCAACACGTTATTCTACGCACGTTTTAACAGCCAAGTTGTTCTTCAAATAAAGAAATACAGCCCAAATGGGTATGATCAGGGATGAACCAGAGGTTTTGCATAATATAGTGGGTCTTTAACGTATAGTTCATTTATTTTTGACGCCAACTTAGTTTTTGAAATAGGCTTCGAAAAGAGTCTTTCAGGTATGATGGATGAGAATTCGCGTTCCTATATTATTTTAAATTTCGCAAGGCCTGTTATTATTTTCTTAATGCTACTGAATAATCAATTTTTTGTGGCTTCACTTCATAAATTTTCTGAGTATTTCTCTAACCAGCACAAATTAACATTTCATGTTATATAGTTCAAAAATATGCTCACCAATCTAGAGCCACAAGACATATCACTGATCTCACACTGAAAGTTCCTAGATTCAGCAAAACTCACACTCAAAGGAAAATCCTTTATTTTGGCCCAAAAATATACAACAGCCTCCCAAACGAACTGAAAGAATGTAAAAATCTTCATAAATTTAAAGCAGACTCAAAAGCATATGTTCTTCAACATATCCATCTTTAAAATAGTTTTCATAACTAACACTATATGATTATATTTCTCCAACGCTCAACTCTATCAACAACAACAAAAATTGCATATCTATGTTCACACTATTATGAATGGGATGAGAGTGTTGGTATTACTGCGGCACAAGCCATTATGGTTTAGGCAGAGGCATTAGCACAAATCATCTCATTATTTATGCATATATTTGTATTGTATTTGTATCATTGTTTTATTGATACATTATTATATTATTATTGTAGTACTATATTATGTAATATATCTAAGATATAACCTCTGTACAAACTACAAAATGGAAGATCATATTCCCATTCCCAATCAAGGACATCGTTCAAGGAATTAAATGTCGAACGCCTCAGAAACTTTGATCTGGCTCAAATTGAGTACAAATCACGACAGTATTAGCAAGGAATATTAAACAAGCGAAACAAGTGAAATAATGGAATGATGACATAGTACGCGTATTTTAATTTCAATTTTTGTATAATTGAATAAAGTCATTGATTTGTTGATGTGTACCCACTATTGCAAATCCCAGAGGTGTAACATTACATTCAATTAGATCAGTTAAACAGTTACCTAACAGAGAAGAGTCTTGATAAAAATTTCAGATTTCTAATAATAATTGATTGCTTGAAAAAAATTGTATCTGAATTGTCTTCATTTATAATTCTTACAGATCCCCCGATTTGCAGTCATCTCTTAGCAGGTGTCTACTTTGCAGAATCGATAAGAAATAGACGAAGTTACTTCATTGGAACTGAGTGCGGAAACATCGTAAATATTTATTTTGGATTCTGTAATTCCAGAAATGTGGCTGTGATGGGAGAATACGTTTCCTACACGTAAGTGCTATGATTTTGGTAACCAAAAAGCTGCTTCCAATGATCACTTCATATTAACATTTCCGAACGAATTCATCGCTTAGCAACTGAATGGTTAGGTCACACTTCAAAAAAATATGTACCTTCTTCTACAAATATAACTTTGCTTTACTCAAATAATATGCTGTCTTTTGGAAATGAAGACAATTATTATCATTCTCCTAAAACTATGGTTTTTGTTTCAGGGTCAGAGGAATATACTCAGTCAGGACTTTTGATAAGCCACCATTTGCATTAAGTTTAATGTAAATTTCAAATGCGAATAGTAACACAATTCAGGACAAAAACAAGTTCAGTGATAAATGGCAGTTCGATATCGAAACACGATATGAGAATATCAATTGAGTTTGATAAGATATCGAAAAATAATTATTCATTGTTATGAGTTCGGAATAATATTATACAAAGGAAAAGTATTCAGCTGTGTGAAAAAATACATATCCAGATAAATGATACTGATTAAAACAAAATGGATTTTTGGGGATGTTATTTGCAGAAACACAAAAAGATGAGTGGACTTTCAAGATTATAAATGAGCTTACTTAAATCAACAAATTTAAAAGACTGTGAGGTAAAAAAATTAATGGTATTTTGTCTATTTCACATACCTAACAGATATTCATTTTGGATGGAAACATATTCCTTCTGGATTATTTTACTCAAAGACATAGAGTATTTTTATTTATTATTCCTTTTTCTTACCAAAAACACTTACCTTTATCCCCAATTCTAATATACAATTAAGGACGTAAGGGGCACTTACATACAGAATCGTATGTAAATAGTGGATGTAACAGCCAAAGAATGACAGCTTTCTCTGATCAAAATAGCTGCTGATTTAGTAAAAGCCGGTAAAATTTAGTGCAAGGTGGTATAATCTTGTAGCTTGGAATACAGGAGGCATCGTTCTATTGATAAAAATAAGAACATGTTTCAGATCTTTCAGATAAAAGTTTTATTTTCATATTCACTGTAGAAAGTTCACAAAACCGTGACACGTGCATCGCTATACAATAGCTCCCTCAAGCGGGAATTAATCAAATCCTGTTTAAGTGACATGTGTCGCGTGAGGAACGCAAAACACTTGTCGCGATTTTGTAATCCTATTACAATGAAATTTTAAAAAATATATTGAATCCTGCGTAAGGAAGCTATGATATAGCGAAACATACGTTGCGGTTTTGTAATCCTTTCACAGTGGAATTTAAAAAAGTATATTCAAATCTTGCTTGGGGAAATCGTAATTGTCAAAATCGCAGAAGTACTGCAGATGGTAATATCCTATTCAGGAATTTCCATGCCAAAGGACCAATGTTATGAAGAACCATGAACAGAAATCCCTGATGTTATTAAAACCCAAGCTTTAATTTTTGTCCATACTGAAATGACAAGAATCCTTCTAACATTTCATCAGTGGTATTCAGCTGTATCCTGGATTCAATATTATCCATTGATGAGAAACAGGTTTGAGTTTTAATCGGCCCATCCAAGACGATGTTTTCGTAGGTGATTTCATTAAGATCATTGATTTTTCAACGTTCATTTAAAGTCATCTGAATGCAAAGTTGAGATGGTGATGAGCTGTAAGTCAGATCGAAACAACTCTCCCTGATATTACTCGTGAATCAAAGACTCCTCAAATAAAAATGAATGTTTATTGAATAATATGAACAATAATGTGAACAATACAATGAAAAATAATTTAGTGGCGAATAGTAATAAACAATAAATAAACTGATTTGTTTTCTTTAATTGAGCAGTTGGAGGAAAATGAGTTGTCAAATCTGAAGATCGACAATTAAGTTGAGGGAGGAACTATTTCTGGTGCTATTAAACAACATCTGTTGTCTCCAATTCCACCTTGCTGCTTTGGACAAAATGGCGGATACTTGTTCTGAAAGCAGTAGGACCCCGATGCACTGAAACAAAATTTTTTGCTGTAATACTGGCATATTTTGCTTTGAATAATATTGCAAAAACTTTATCAAAATCCACAGATATACCAGAGGAGTCTACTGCATTGATTTATCCAGCCATCAATGATGGGGAGAATGTGGTCCAAAACTGTTATAGTAATGATCACTTAGTTGAAATTATCAATTATTGTAAGAGTAATATCCATGAGGGAACTTGCATAAACAGCCATCAATTTTGTTTAGTGTCCTGTAATCATCAGGGCATATTTTCTAGATAATTAATAACAACTAAGTACAAAATTCATCAGTTATTAAAACTATAAATACTTTTTCAAGAAATCCACAAAAAATAATTCAGGTCCTTAAATTTCTAATGCAATTGATTTCTTAAAAAAACATCTGGATCTCCACATCGACTTTTACTCGATTATATTGTTATTGCTATTGTAAAGTGAATTTTCGTTTTATTTTCAATAATATTCTTTCAAAATACGATAAATTTCTTGGAATTCATTTGATCATATAATTCATAATTCAACATAACTGTATTCTTTGAAAGACATTCAAATAGTCAATGTTTCTTGCCAAACCATACAGACACAACTATCATTAATCATTCTAATCACACTTATCAACAGACATCAGTATCCTGATATCCACAGATAATTTTATGGAGGAATTAAATTTGAAAAAACAAATTGTTGTAAACAACAACTTTAACCCGAACACAATTTATCACATTCTTGACAAACAAAATTTTAACCAAGGATACTACCACATTAAAAATAGCACTAACACCTACGAAGCACGCACGTATATAGGAGGGTCATCAAATAAAAAAATAAATAATATTTTGAAAAACAGGAAAAACACGCTTTGATAGCAACACAATCTAAAAAATGAAAAACTAATTTAAGATTGTATTCAACACCGATAATATGTCCTATGGCGTGATGTAACTAATTACTTTTAATAAGTCTGAAATCAGAATAATATTTTGTTGTCATTCAAATTGAATTTTTATTATGCCTCCAATCTGGCAAACAGCTCCTATAACCAAGTATTTATAACAAAAGATATTCAGCACCCCTCGCATTTTCACAACAAAATAATTTTTTTTAAGTACAAAACACAAACTAGAGGAAAATGCTTAAGGCGCTCTTAGAGCGGTGCCTAAGTGAAAGAAGTGATTCACATTGGATTTGATTCGCTGGAGATTCTCAGGAAGTTTATTCCACATAAACGCCGTTCTTCGAATGAAAGAGTTCTTAAACAGTGAAGTTTGAGATGAACTGAGCTGAAGCTCACACAGCCGTTTGCGTATTTCTGATATGTACCGCTTTCGGTGAAATTAAATGTCACTTGAACACTTCCCAGTGACATGATTGTGCCAAGACATATTGGTGTCCATTTTAACCCCCCCACAAACTTATCAAAGCAGAAAACGGAATTGTCTCCCCTGACATTATTATATCCGGTGAAATGAGTTTGTGGTTAGAAGATCCCAATGGAGACCTTATGGTGACTGTGTAAATTTCTGGATTGGTTGTTAGGTATAGGTTCAGAAGACCAGCATATTCTCCATCACGGTCAAGAATCCCAGTTGGTTCATTTATAATCTGAGAAAGTTCGCTGCTTATTGCAAAAGCCTCAGCTTCGCCACCTTGTTCGCCGTTGATATTTGAAATGTGAGCCATTCTATATAGTGGATATTAAAGTCACCAAAATGGTGACTTATTCCGATTTCGAACATTTCAAAAGTCACTAGTTACATCAAGCCATAGGACTCATTATCGATGTTGAACGTAATCTTAAATGAGTTTCGAATTATTTTTTAGTTTTTAGTTTGTGTTGCTTTCAAAGCATATTTTTCAGTTTTCAAACTATTATTTATTTTTCACTTTTTAGTTTGGTTTGCTATTTCAAGCCCATTTGTTAGTTGTCTCACTTGCTCTCACACAGAGACTGTGTGAGGAAATTATTTAATCCTTTCGATCCTGATCAGGATAATGAGATAAACTTATATGAAATTATTGTATTGTCACCGATTCTTAATAAGTGTACAAAGTTCAAAATATATTTGTCTGTTCAAAGTTAGTCAAAATCGAGTCCAAAAGAGTCGGTTACAAACAAGAATACAAGTGAAGCTAAAAATAGCATGTTAATTAAAAAAACTACCTACTGACATAAAAGAAAATTAGCATAGCATATAATACTGGTAACTTCTTAGGTAGACATATTGAAAACAAAAAGTCAAACAGGACAAAGATAAAAGTAAAACTGGACCCTTTGGCGTAGAATACATCCAAAACAAAATCTTTTTCCAATCACCAGAATTGAAATACTCTTCTCGACACGTTTCACCAACCAAGTTGGCGTCTTTATTGCGAAATATTCATTTTCTAAATGCGTATCTGTATGAAAACACAAAAATTATTTGAAACAGTATACTTACGAAAGTGGAGTGCTCTGTCCCATTAGTACAGGAGCACCCACCCTGTTTACTGGTCTTGGTCCTGCTGGACAACGTCTTGAACAAGGCTCAGCTACTTTCGCTATCTCCGGAAAAAGGCTCTCTGCCATGTAGCAAATGGCCCATACGTGACTGCAGAGCTGAACATCAACTAGAATTAAAATGTTAATGGAAAATTTGAATACAACAAATAAAGGCGAATGTGGTAATGATCCGCGCAGGTATGGTGGCCCCCTTCGATATTTTTTATTTAAAATTACGCCATCTAATAAGTTTAATTTCAAAAAGAACATTACTATGTCAATTTTGAAATAATACCGAAAAACTCTGAGAGAGGGCAGCACATCCTCGTGTTTTTCTTACCATTTTAAACCTGCACTTGCCAATAGCTTGTTTGGTGCTACATTTAATTCAATAATTGAGTAAATATCAAGTTTTAGCTGCGATGAGTTAGATATTGTGTTTAATTAATTTTTTTTACAGGATTGTGAAGGTGATTATGAAAAATATTTGATGTTTATATATTCATCGAGGTTTGTTTATAGATTTCGTTGGATCATTTTTTGAAGCGACATCGACATATGGAGGTATTTTATGTACGCAGGCCGGGCCGATGGGGACATCATAGAGCATATATTTTCGTTTCGTAAATTAAAATTGTTCAGCAAACAAAATATAGAAACAGCTTTAGATTAATCGCGACAATTACAAGAAATTTTTAATGTTATGGATCAAATATGATTCACAATTTGGCACTTTTTTGAACGGTAGCGTTAGGCACCTCAAAAACCATCCGAAATGAGCTTATAGACAGTGTGGCATATATATTATTGAGCAAAATATAAGCAAGGAGATTGAAAGTCTTTCTTTTTTTGCATGGGAAATTGATGAAACTACCGATATTACCTATACATCACAACTTTCAATCATTTTTAGATATGTCAAAGATAAGCATAATTAAGTATATGTGCTTATAAAATATTTGTAGCAATTTTTAATAAAACTGTTATATTAGAAGAGAACATTATTATTATTTATTGACTGAGAAGAGTTCATTTATATTAAATAACTCAAAGGCAACCCTTTTTCCTTGTTTTTGTTTATTAATGGCCAGTTTCATACGTATAATTTTCGGCAATACACAATTTTTGTTTGCATTTATGCAAATATTACGTATTTTGCTTTAGCTATGTGCGGTACCCCAAAATATTTTCGCGCTTCAGGCGGGCTTTTCTGTGTGTATATAGTCTTTATGACTTTAGCCTCTCCTGTTCTTCAATGCACGAGCCGTCACTGGGCAGAGTTCATCCATCTGGTTGGATCCAAGCTAACTTGTTTACCGAATGGTTTAGACGTTTCATTAAAAAAGCAAATCCTACAGATGTCTCTCTACTATTGCTAATTCTTGATGGACATTATAGTTACATGCGCAATGTAGGTGTTTTGGAGTTAGCCCGCGAAAAATATGTCACTATTGTCTGTCTCCCACCACATACAACCCACAAACTACAACCATTAGATAAGACTTTCATGGGTACCCTTAAAAGTCACTATAGTGAGGATTCGTGAGTGTATGCTCAATTATGAAAGAGTGCTCAAGGCTTACGACATTGCTGAGCTTTTTGGCTGCGCTTATCTTAAGAGCACTACAGGAGAAATTGTAGTAAACGGGTTTCGTGCATTTATCCATTCAATCCGCAGGTTTTTACTGAAGTTGATTTTATTGCAAAAAACATCATACAGTGATCATCCAGCTCCCTCTTCCGATGATCTAAAAACTAGCGTTCATTCTAACCTAGATATTCTGGGAGGAAGTTCTGCAGTTACCCAGTCAGTTACCCAGACCAAGGAATAAAAACTACAACAGCAAAAGTAATAACGTCTTTACCCTACAAAAATCAATTGTGCTAATCTTTGCGCTTAGTAGAAAGTCATAAACGTGGAAGCGGTCGTGGACGTTGGCGCGGACGCGGATGTGGACGTGGGAGCGGACGCGGCCTTTCAAGCAGCCGAGATGAAAGAGAGGATGGCGCAAGCAGTTCTGACCGGTACCAAAGAGACGTGATACCCAGCAGCTCCAGGCGCTCCGACAATGAAGAAGTCATAGAAACCGACTCGTCTGAATGTTGGACCATATTGACCGTCCATCGTTTGTACCTGAGATACAGTTTGTATAATTTGTGACGTCAATTATTCTAGCGATAGACGTGGAGTAGAGTGGGTACAGTGTCAGAACTGTAACTTATGGGCTTATATCGACTGTGCAAGTTCTGAAGTGTACAGTGTCAGAACTGTAACTTATGGGCTTATATCGACTGTGCAAGTTCTGAAGGCCAATATCACTTCTGCGATTTTTGTCTTTAAGTTCAATACGTTTAATTTGGCCTCCAGGGTGTCTTATACCCCTCACCTGATGTCAAATTGTTAAATTGGAATTTTCTTAGAATACATTAATTTTTTAATATTCTGTCGCATTTTTTTATTCCTTAGTAACTCATATATAGCCAAATAAATGCGGAACCCGGGGATGTATTATTTGGTTTTGTATTCCTTTTACTTTTTACACTAGACCTCAAAAACAAAATGGGGGGGGGGCCAATTTGCACCTTCTCCTCTAAGCATTCTCAGTACCAATATTAATAATTCATTACCTATAACAGAATGTTGTTACGAATACGCAAGTACAGCCAAGTTGAACAATCACATTGTATTTATAGGAACCTACCTTGCTTACAATTTTGAAAACAGACTATAAAGTTGAAATTGTTTTTGCCAAAACAAAAAAGAAAAAGATTCGAAGAAATGTTGCTTTTCAAAATAATGATGCAACGGTTGCTGGAATTGTTTTCTAGAATTTTCAGAAATATACTAATGGTTGAATGGCTCTAAGTCGTTCTAATGCATCAGGAAATATAACGGTGTCTGGCGTGTAAAGAAGAAGCTATTGTATGGCGAAACACATGTTGCGTTTTTATAAAATTGTTTAGTGAAAAACTCACAATCAAGTAGTGTATTTTGAATACGTTAGTTATGGATTATCATCAAGTATCGGCCGATTCCATTATATATGTAATTTTTGTTGTATGAGATTGATCAAACTTACTGTCAGCATTTTCACAATATGGTTGTGCTCTACCACCATTAATGCAGAAGTCCACATGACCACTTCTTCCTCCTTCACCATAATGGCCAGCATTCGTGTGTAGCACATGGACTGCCATCGCATCAGCTATTGACAGTCTATTGCCATTCATGATCATGGGTCTAGCTGGATCCAAGGCTATTATTCGATGGATACGGAAAATGACGTAACGGGATATCAGGCCACATATATGTGATCCTGAAAAGTATTCGTTTATTATCTGAACTACAGTCACATAAAATAAATTAAAACGTAAAAAGTTACTTCCCCCTCTCAACTTTTGAACGAGACAGAATATTAAAGTCGAACAAAATGAAAGTACTTTTTATTTAGAAAAACAAAAGTGTGACTTCACTCGTCGCCAAGAGCCACGGCACTATCAACTTCTTTCTATGGAAATATTGTCTATCCAATACTGGTTCAATTTTGAAAATCCGACCTGCCTTCTCTGTGTAACTAGCAATTTTATATTCATTTCAAGAATCTACAAATGAACGATGAATATCATAATTTCAATAAGAAATGTATTCAAAACTCATTCCAGTTAAACGCAATAAATATTATATTATGAAATGTTCCTGGGGTTTCGTTTCAAGCACATGTTCCGAAACAAAATATTTGTATATGTTACACTTCAGATTTCATGTTACTTCTCAAAAAAGCCAAAGACGTCTTATCAGGTGATCTAGCAGACCACGTCAACCTAAATGGGTTTTCAACTAATGTGCCAAGGTGACGATTATACAAACCGGTGGATAGGCTTAGAATGGGCCACTAGATCATGCTGTGACACCTCAATTTTTTTGTGGGGATTCGAGAGATCAAAGCAGTTCAAAGCAAAAAAATTACCCCAGAAACATTTCATACTACAAGAAATGAATTTGTAAATAAACTAAAAATGACGCATTTTTACAACAATTTTGTTCCACCTTGATATTTCATCCTGTTCAAAATTACAGAGATTTTTACGTTCGCACTGTATAGAGAAAATTTCAAGAAGTTCTCTACAAAAGAAAAACATTGCCTGAAATACAATATATTATCGTTAAGTATAGAAAATACAGTGAAATTACCTCTTTTTCAAAGATTGAAAAAAAATCAACTCGATGAAAATATTTGAATTTCTAATTTTGTTATTTTTTACGCAATATTTTGTGTATGATTTATTTCCTCACTCAAATATTGTTTCTTTTGTTGATTAGTTGCTTACACAATGCTTTAAATTCAATTCAAATCAAATCAAAAATACTTTATTATACATTTCTATTTAACAAATGTATGGTCTACTGTACAGAGTATTTACAATATTTGCATCTCTCCCACACACGGGAGTGATATGAGGAGGGAAATACGGTTGGTAAAGGAAAAGGAGGAATCAGCAGGTTGAGACTTCAATATTGAGCCCCAGGACGTACGCAAGGTAAAGGGCCGCCTCATAGACCCACGACAGGCCGATGGGAGACGACCACGCTGGTGTTAACGGGTGGTTATCTGCCCAACAGAGCCTCATTCCAGCATACAGTCTAAGACTTCCCGCTTCCTACCGAGGGTTAAGCGAGATTGCTCGTGATGTTGCAGTTTCGGTACCTCATATCTGAATATAGTAGATGGGTGTTGCAAGTTTATCATTAGCCCCCTGGAAATAGTTCATGAAAAAACCAGGTAAGAATAATTCTGATATCACGAGAATACGTGAATTATCTTAGCCAGCTTTTCCATGAACTAAGCGCGATCACATTCGCGCCGTTATTATCCAAAACTTAAGATAGTTCGGTATTCACAAAGTGTAGGTATTCCGCAGAATTTAAATTATGTCTAAAAAAAGTATGGTCCTATAATTTGATCGTTTAATATGCCACACCATACATTCGTCTTAAACGAATATTGATCTCGACATTCGATTACGAAATGTGGGTTTTCTTTTGCCCACCACCTGAAAAGCACAACCTAATGGAGATATCAAAAGTTGCTTGAAGAGATGAACAAAAAAAAAATCCATTTGATGCGGACTTTATGTGTGACACTGTATAATGTAATTAGAAAAACCATGAAAAGTGTTACAGGAAAAGGAATTTCAAAATTGAAAATATCATGTTCATGAAACTATTCAAAAAAAATTACTGTATCTTTTGAACAGATTTCAACATTTTTGTCTAATTCTGTTTGATAAAAAAGTGTGACGAACCAACAGTTTGATACCTTCATATTTTTTAACTAGACCATCTTACCCAATGAATGACCAACGCAGGTAACCTTCTCAGTTGGAAGTCCAGCAGTTCTCAGAGACGTCAAGAGATCGCCAGTGCATTTGGCAACTGCTTTCATGTTATTAACTGCAGCCCTGTAACACGGGGGAGGTGACAACCTACCCCAATCCACGACCCATATGTTATAACTGCCGTTTTTGTTGTAAGCTGAAACATTAGATTATCATTGATGGAGTCAGTTCAAAATTTATTTTTATTATATATAAATTGCAGTATCAATTGTTTAGACAATTGTCTTAGTCGGTAGCATTCAAGGATTGTTTTCAATTGAGAAAGTAATTGATTAACAAAGAAATTCCATTATAAAACATTCACAAGACCACCACAATACGAAGAGACTTTAGGTATTACCGACAAAATGGATAGAATATTAAGAGGAGAAAATATCTGGACCATCTACAAAAAAGTACAATCAATGTACGCGACTAGTATACATCCAGACCAAAATGAAAAATGTCTATCGAAAATCAGGTGGTATTAAAGAAATTTTTTTCAATTTAAAAACCCATTGATGAACAAAGAAACTCTTGACCTTACTATTACTAAAATTAATAATGAACATGATTTTGAATACAAAACACAAGCATTAAAGAAAAATCCTTTAGAGCGGTACCTGTGCGAGAGTGGCGATTTACATTGGATTTGAATCATTGAGAATTAAACTTATTTGGAAAAATTTTCTCAGGAAGTTTATTCCACATAAATGCAGTTCTCCAAAGGAAAGAGTTTTTGAATGGTGAAGTTCGAGATATAGTGAGTTGAACCTCAAAACGATGAGCAGTCACAGTCCGTCGCTCTTGGTGGAATCACTCGAACACCTTGGACACTACTGTAGTCCAACAACTGTTTGATTTCAAGCTTCGAAGGGTGAATAAACGCCTTGGAGTGAGCGAATCCTGGAAGATTCCGCCAGAAATCCATAAATCTTTCTGCCCTCCAGATGTTTAATATTTGTTTGGCGAAGCCTAAAGCGATACCAATGACAGGTTCTGGTGCGCTGAAGCTACATTCAGTACCTTCTCTTGCAAAGGAATCAGCAGCCTCATTGCCTTCCATGCCAGTATGGCTAGGAATCCATACCAGAGACAATTTGTCTTTCTATTGAGGAGAGTCGTTTTTGGCAATTTGCTACCAATTTAGACGTTGCTCGGTAGGAGCCAAAAGCTTCCAACGCCGCTTGACTGTCAGAGAACATTTTTATTGACTTGTGTGTGAGGTTGGATTCTATCTCTCCGCACATGATTCAATAGCATAGATTTCTGCTTGAAATACAATAGCAGAAGTCCCTAGGCAGGTTGATATCTATCAGGATCCATGAACAAAAAAGCAAACACATTCTACTTCTTTGCAGCATTTTCTACAAATATAAAAATGGTTTGGACTCAGCTAAATAGATTGCCGAAATTAAATATAAAAAAATCCGACAATTTGGATGAGCATCTGGCAAAACAACTCAATATATTCCACAATCTTCTTTTGGAAGATAACTACATATTTCTAGGGTTAGTCATACTATTTTATTTTAATTTTTGAAAAAGGAAAACATGAAATTCAAACTGAGGATTCGAAATCTCAAAAATTATAGAAATTTCAATAATGGTGGAGTGATTTCTTAAACTGCAATTGAACAACTTCTTGAAGGAATACGTCCATACGATGTTTACCCTACCTGACCTACCCTAAACTACAACAATCATAATGAAATTACCATCTCTCAATACTATCATCGGTAGTTCATCATCACCTCCAGCGTATCCGTGGATCAGCATCACATCTTCTTTTGTTGAATCCCAAATACTCTGTCGCAACCAATCGGTTTGAGTATAATCAACGATTTGTTTTTGACCATTAGTGTATAGGATGTATCGAACATCTGGATCCGGACACACATCCCTTCCGTTGGAGGCTCGAAAAACGCAGTCCCTTAAGGTGAGATTACTGCTGACGACATTGTGGAGGAAGAGCGCATCTTTGACAGGTTGATACGGGAGAGTTACTTGGCATATACACTGAGCTAAAAACATCACTTAATAGTATATTATATACCTAGGGTGAGACGTGAGCTATTATTTACCGAGCATTTTTATATCCTGAGGCGCGTAGCGCCTAGGGATATAATGTGCGAGGTAAATAATAGCTTTCTCAGCCGAGGTATATATAGAATTTTTTTCACTACTAACATTGATATATTAACAATTTTAATTTTGGCATTAGTAATTTTCTAACAATTTATTGAATATATCGGAATATCAAGTAGAGTGGAGAGTGTTTATAATCAGACTGGCTTTATTTATGTAAAAATTTGGTATGTGTCAAATTTTGATATGAATCTAGGAAATAACTCATTGTAGTTTTGATATATTTCAATGTTCCACTTCTCTCATCGCTTCTGTACGTTCAGAACTTAGAATTTCTCAATTCTGCATTATAGTGAGAAAACAATTTCGTTGGTTATATGATAACCCAAGGCAGCTATGAATTGTTGCATGTCAAATTGAAACGGTACAGTTTCCATGTTGAATACGCGATGTCGATGATAAGCGCGCAACATCTACTTAGGCCATGAAAACGTTTGCCGGCGTTTCCATGACAACCAAACACTGTACAAAGATATAATGTGCGAGGTAAATAATAGCTTTCTCAGCCGAGGTATATATAGAATTTTTTTCACTAATAACATTGATATATTAACAATTTTGATTTTGGCATTAGTAATTTTCTAACAATTTGTTGAATATATCGGAATATCCAGTAGAGTGGAGCATGTTTCCAATCAGACTGGCTTTATTTATGTAAAAATTTGGCATGTGTCAAATTTTGATATGAATCTACGAAATATCTCATTGTATTTTTGATATATTTCAATGTTCCACTTCTCTCATCGCTTCTGTATGTTCAGAACTTCAGAACGTAGAATTTCTCAATTCTGCATTATAGTGAGAAAACAATTTCGTTGTTTATATGATAACCCAAGGCAGCTATGAATTGTTGCATGTCAAATTGAAACGGTACAGTTTCCATGATGAATTCGCGATGTCGATGATAAGCGCGAAACATCAACTTAGGCCATGAAAACGTTTGCCGGCGTTTCCATGACAACCAAACACTGTACAATGATTATTATTGCTGTCAGTTGGCCAAATGCGGTTTTAATTCAAATTTAGATGTCATTTTGAAGAAGTTAAAAGATCTATATAAGTAAAACGTCAATATAATTAATTGAAAAATGGGTGAAAATTCAAGTGACGATGATTTAGAGATGATGTGTACGCCTGATTTGTCACAATTGTACAATTAATTAAAATTTCAAATAATTTTCAAGCGTATTGCCAATGTTCAATTTCCTACTTCTAGTTGATAATTAAGTTAACAAAAGTTTCTGTGAATATCTTCAAAATTATAGAATTGTTCTCATTATTTACCAAGGGTGAGAAATATTAATTCTCTCGTTAGGGGAATGGAGTAAATAATAGCAATTCATCAGGTATTAGTAGTGAAAAAATTTATTATTTTACACGGCATGCAAATGTACCACTTTCGAAGCAGAAAGCAGATGAACGAGAAAGTTGAAAGAAATGGTTTAATGTGTATATAAAATGTATCCCAACGGCGTCAAGAATATAAGAGAAATTGAACGGTAAACAAATGTTAAAGAAAAGAGGTCATTAAGATTAAATTGAGTTCATATTTACGAACAGTGATGGATTGATTTACGGACTTGCCGGGAATAAAGACCCGGGCTTTGGACAGCTCATCTGTGGGTGGGGGGATCACTGAATCTCGATGTTTTAATAGCAGACTTTGTTGAATCGAAAACAAGGAAAAATATATCTAATCAGTAGTCGTAAATTACCAAAATATACATTGATTTGTTGAGTTTTCGTTCATATTTGGGAACCGACATTTTGTGTTTACTGTAATTTATGATTTTTGTCTGCCTTGAATGGTCTCAGCTTAACTCAGTTCCGGGCTGTTACAAATCTGAAGCGCCAAAAACTTGTATGTCATCAAGATATTTCATAAATCTAAATAATTGAAAACAAAATTCAGGTTAAATTTAAAGAAAATAAAAAACCATATTTTTCAGGAAGTTAAATAATGAGTCAAGTTGATTGTTACATTATTTTACAACAAAAAAGTTCTATGAATTGGTAAATTGCGGAAATATTAACCAAAATACAGGGTAGACATAAAAAGTCAATCCCCCTTCGTAACCTTTGTACGGGACAATGTTTCAAAGTTGGACAAAATTTATGTAAAAAGACATCATTTTCAATACATTTTGATGAGTTAATATTAAACGATAGTTTAACACTAAGGCACTACCATTTTTCCAAATAGGAAAGTGGTCTGTTTGTCTGTCTGTCTGTCTGTCTGTCTGTCTATATGTCTTTTTAGTTAAATTCTCAACACTGTTTTGGATTTATAAACTGGATCAGCCGCTTGTTTTGAGAATCTGCAGGCAAACGACAAATATCATAAGTTCAAGAAAAAATGTATACAAAACTCACACCAGGTTAGTTCAATAAATTTTTAAAATGTTTACCATTCATTAATTGACAGTAATACGAATGAACTGCGATTGTGTATCGTACACTTCAGATGTAACGTGTCCCCACAATAAAATCTAAAGTCGTCATATCAGGTGATCTAGTGGGTCATTATGAGGGACCACGTCTGTCTGTCTACTGGATTAGATAAATAACAATCGCAAATTAATTTTCTCCTTTCGTTGCGCTACAGCAAGATAAGGTTAGGACAATCTGGTTCAATAGTGGCTAGATGACAATTTTCCAAAATGGAGGATAGTCAAACATTGTCCCTTAGAAGTACCTACTAGATCATCGGATATGACTTTGTCTTCTTTGTGGAAGCTCGCGAAATATAAGGGATTCGTTACTAAATCGTATTCTTCCCCAGAACCCGTGGGTTTTGAAAACATTTTGTTCTTGATATCATTTATCGTTTGTTTGCAATTTTTTTAACTAAAATAAGACTGCCAATTACTCAGGAACGGCTGGTGAGATTTCTAAAAATAATATTTGATTATTCTACATGAAAAATACGTAATTGACAGTTGGCATCTGCAACAAGTTTGAAAAATGCCTCTTTGTATGTGATAAGAAAAATACAGTTTCAGATTGTATTGATGAGAAGGATAAGTATTGAGAGTAACACTCGCTCTACATTAGGTACCGTGCATAATTTCTAGAATATAATATTTTTTCAAAAAATATTATAAACTGTAAGTACAGTTTCTTTAATATGAATGAAAACATGAATCTTTTCTAGATACACGTGAAAAAATATGGTACAAGGAAGTTCCCAAACTTTAATAAATATTTTTGTTAATATACTTACATTTCATAAAAAGTTGTTCACTAATAGATACTCACATAGGTAAAAAAATAAGAATCCCACCAAAATATGTAACCGTGACATCGTGGCACAAAATAATTACTAAAAGAAAAAGCCGGACACCACAAAGAAATTCTTGCACATACTAACACCATATACTTGAAGACCCTTTTATGTCACGGTATTCTTGCGGTAAAAATCCTACAGGAAGTAAATATTGAACTCGAGGGGAATAACCAAAATGAAAATTGTACAGAAGAATTCTTGGAAGTGGTTTATTCCAAGAACTTTCAAAATAAAAACCGACAGTCACTATTCGTTTATGTGTATTGAACAACTGGCAGACTGGATCGATACACTGATTGATATTTTAAACGTGGATCAAAACTGATTTCTCTCGGTCAAAGGAAGAGTATGTTTATGACAAAAAAAACTGTTAGCCGAAGAAAGCGTCTTGAATAATAACGTAACCAATTACCATAAAGAAATTGTTTATTCTTGGTGGCTCCAATGGAAGTAATTATTTGCGAAATTGAGTGGGTTGATATTTTGATGATTTTTTATTATTGAGCGGAGAAAAATGTAGGTCAGTCACATACTAAAAAAACTAATTTATTAAACCTGTTTCAATTACTTTCCAGAATTGAAAGTAGAGTCCCACATACAGAGTGCATTATAAATTGCATTCTCGCCATGTTTTTATGTTTGAATGCTGGAAAATCAACGTCAAACCTGATTGGTACTTTCAAATTAAAAATAGAGTTATTGTATTTGTATATATAATAATGAAAATATCTTCAAGTTGTATTTTCATCATTGAAAAATGCAGTTAATAATTCACAAGTGTTCAGTTGATGAAATCATTGAAAAGTGTATGAAGATTCTACACTTTCATTTCTTCGAAAATGTGAAATTTGCAAAATAGAACGAATGCACCAGTTAAATCAAACTGTAATTCCAGTTTGATTTACCTAGTGTTCTAGAGAAGGCATAAATGTAGGTGATAACTCGATTGATATCAGCGAGATCTTGCTGCTGCACGAGAAGCTTCTTCAAGAATGTTCACTGTGAGGAATCTTGCAGAAATGTCTGTTGGATGTACTTCAATATCCGTCGGGGTATTACCCAGAGAACCCTACTTCACTGAATTTTACTCACAAGAATCACTTTTATACTCTCAAACTGAACCCATCAGTAGATGTTCCTTCCGTGAGACGGTAAGGGCAACAAAGTTCGTAAATCGCCACGAGGACATAATACATCTATTAATATGCGTATAGCATTCAAACTCTTATGTCATATACTCTAGACCATTTTATTGAATTCTCAGTATTCCTACATATTATCATGTAAATATTGAAAAAAAATCTAAAATTCCATTTGATTTTAACATATTCGTTTTATAATATTTGGCTCTTAAAATTAATTTTTTATTAGTTGCTAAGGTGAAGGTGTAAAGCTAAGGTGAAACTTTTGGAGCAATAAATTTTGCCGTCTGTCAAAAACCGCAAAAATTCGGAGAAAAGCAACACAAAACTTGCTACCAAGGAATTCGAAAGACGTTCGTGACAAAGAACGTGGCAAAAAATTTTAGTCTGGATTGCAAAATCCTCAGAAGTTGAAAATTGTGTGTACTGCGGGTTAACGGGGTCTTATATTTCAACGTGCTAGAAATCGTACGTTGGCTACTTTGATATAATCTGTCCGAAACATTCTACTCAAGTTACTTATGATCCAAATATTCAACGGTAAAGAAGAGTTCAATGGCAAATAAGAATATGAACATCGCTAATTATTTAAGTTAAGTACCTAATATTCGAAGCAAGGATCAAAAAGATACCGGCCAAATGAGTTCAAAGTTTATTTCATAAATCAACGCATAAAACGTTTTCAAACGATTTTATTTAGCTTGTCCTGTTTGTTTGTGTCAAATTAAGTAATTGAAGTTTGACACCTTTCCTGTTGACAGATTGAGATTGAATTCGATACACACATTTAGTTTTGATGACAATACAATTTAAAATATTGTTAATCCAAAATGGCCGCAGCTACAAAATGGGGGATTACAACTATCTCAATATGGGTATCAAATGACAGGGCTTGACTGGTAGAATTGTAGTACACTCTGGAAAAGATGCAAATTCAAGATGGTCGCCGCTACAAAATGGCGGATTATATATTTTCCCACAACTACCTCTATATGGGTATTAAATGACAGGGTTTGACTAGTAGAATATAGTAATACACTTTGAAAAACATGCAAATTCAATATGGCCGCAGCTACGAAATTTCGGATTACATTTTAACTTGTGATACTATTGAGGCACTAAATGCACTAAATAACAGAATGAGTAGAATTGAGTAACAAAATCAGAAACTAAAAGCTTGTGAATGAAAATAAGTAAAAAAATATTTGTTAAACGGTTTTACAAAAAAAAAAAGATAATAATGATGTAGATAATGTACAAAAAAATAATTCGTGACGTCCTAGATAGCAGTCATCACATCACTCTCCTCAGCAATCTACGGTATTGATCAGATAAAAAAATAATAAAATCGTTCGGCGTAGTATTGACATATTTACTCAGATTACAATTTTATTATTTGGTATGATGACCACTACCTAGGACCTAACGAATTATTTTTTTAGTTTTTAGAACATTATCTACATCATTATCTTTTGTTATTTCAATAAAATCGTTCAACATGTGTTTTTTAATTATTTTTAATTGATGAAATTGCATTAATGTTTGGTGGATGACCAGAAAATCTTGTGGATAGGCTATTAGCTACGTAGAGAAGGATTATAAATTTTCATTGTAAACTGACTAGAGACAAAAACTGATACGAGTATAAAGCGCGTTCCCAGCAAACATCATCTCATTTTGACATGATATTTTAGTCAGCATTTCGTTATAATGCCTGACAATTGACGTGATAATGACGAAAAAAATGACGGTCACAAAACGTTGCAGGTTTCCTCCAAGCAAATATCACTAATGAGATCTATGACCGACAGAAACAGCACTGATATTGGATCAAAACTACAACACTTTTGGGTCCTGATTCTTTCTAGTTTATGATGCCTATTCAAGTTGTTATATAGTGATTTTCTTAAAACGATCGATATATCTAGCAATTTCATCATCATTGCGAATCAAACAACTTATAAAACTCAAAAAGTTGGACTACAAGAACTATTATGGTGAATTTTAAAAATGGTGTGACGAGATATAGGTACTGTCAGTAAATATCTTAAGAAAAAAATATATATTATCAGAACACTTGCGTGAAACCCTTCTTAGAAAAAATGTATTTATATCTATAAATTTAACACAAAATAATTGTCAGTATTCACTGATAATAAGCTGAAATTAGATGAACATGTCTGGCAATTCCAGATTGAGAAATACTATTGCTACGTTTTTCCCGTGGGTTAACCAATAATTGACTACACTGAATAACCAAACTTAACTTTATTTTACTTTAAATACAACAAACGCTTCAACTATTATTCGAATGTCTATCGCCTTACTACATCACTTCGCGTACCGCACATAACTTTCACTTGACTGTATCTATATGCTCGTGGCTAGCGTTTATACATATATCGTAATTGAATGCGCTAGAAAATTTCGCTGAAATTTCATCGACATCGGTAGCATTATTTTTGATACATCTAGAGCGGCAGCAAACATCGTATATTCGCGCGCTCTTAGCTACGTCACGATTGGTTTATGGCTACCAGTGGCGGCCGGCGTTATTTTCTTTAGGGCACGATTTACAACACTACGGAAAACCCTTTATGTGGAAGATGTATTAGGTTGTTTCAAAAGTTTTGTCTGTTTTTTTTAATCTTCTTTAAACTGTAATTACTCAGTGAATACGTATTCAATTTAATCGAAATAAGCGCCATTTGAATAAGTGCACTTTTGCCAACATAACACGGGTCAACTAATTCCATAAGCATGAAAATTGTTTTTCGGGAATCGATGAAGTCGACGGAAATCGTTCTTGACTGGTCCTGTTCTACAGGTGAGAAAGTTATCGAAGTCCTTGAAAAGATGGTAGTCGGTTGGCGAGAGATCTGGGAAGTATGATGGGTGAGGCAGGATAATTTCGACGCCCAATTCATTTAGTTTGCGGACGGTGATTTGTGAAACATGCGGACATGCAAATCACACCAGCCGCTGACCATCATACAGTAAACTTGGTCTTTATTGGTGGGTTTTCGCCTTTGGGAAATGCTTGGGTGGCTCATCGCGGTGCTCAACCACTGTCTTAAACGTCTCCTGTTGTCGAAGAGGATCCACTTTTCATCATACGTGACGATTCGATCCTAAAAAGGTTCGGTTTAGTTGCATAAAAGCAAAGAAGAACATACCTCGAAAAGTGACGATTTCTGTCGATCATTATATTATGGGGTACCCACTTTTCGTGATTTTTGATATTTCCAATACGTTTTGAACCATCAAAAACCTCATGGGAACTGACTCACACTTTTTCCGCCTTCCCATGCACCGTTTGTGATGGGTCATTCTCCACTCCTCGTCCTGGATTACTGTAGGTCGACCACTTCGGGGCTCATCTTCGAGGTTAAAATCTCCGGAACGAAATTTCACAAAACAACGTCGAACAGTGCGTGTATTAACACTATCATTACCAAATGCCTGATCACAAAACTTTTGAAATAAGCTATAATTCAAATATTTTCCTTTCCATGCTAATTATGAAAGGAAAAGGTGAAAGTTGTGTCTCTATGGGAATAATCCCAGAAAATAATGCAGAAGTCTATTCCACTACCAAAAACATTGTAAGTCATTGTATTTTCCATTATTGAGAATGACAAATGGTAGTCTGCACCTTCCGTGGCCGATCACATGTAAAAATGTAACTGAAAATTAATGAAGAACTTTATTATTATCATTTTATATGGCACATTTCATCAGAATTCTCTCTTTATTTGCCACATGCAATTATTCAGTTCAGTTTAACTTTTCATTTATCATCTGAAATATAGTCGATTCCATCAATTATGGTTATGATTAATTATCATTTCCCAATTGAAAAAAGTTCAGGATGAATTTCATGCAATTACAATGAATTATTCTAATAATAACGTTTTACTTAATGTAGATATTCAATTTGCACTATAATAACATATTTTTAATGGCCTTTGGGAACACAAAGTTTCAAGACACGTCAATATATTTTTTCATAAAAGGGGTAAAACGAAAGTATTTTTACCCCTTTTATGAAAAAATATATTGAGCTAAGAAGTAAAAATACAAATTGAATAGAAGTTGGCTGAATGGTCTATTGAAATCTATATTATTTGTAAAATAAGTGACCCTATTCTTCAGAGATATCAAAATTGGGATTAGTCGGTTGTGGTCGAACAGAACTTGTAGTATTTCACTAGTTCGGACTTCCATTGTCTAATATGTAAAATGATATGAAATCCCCGAAACTACACCCAGCGAGGGGAAACCAACAAATCAGGAATAGCAGACCATGTTTGGACCCATCAACACAACATCGAGTGGTCCCAAGCTGAGATCATGCACAGAGAGGAACATTGGTTCAGGAGAAAATTCAAGGAAGCCGCATACATGCTGTCCAACAACGTATTCAGCCAAGCTATCTTAGAGATACGCAACATATGGAAACCCATCATCAAGCGAAAAATGGCCAACTCCCGCCAAACGGTCATCTCCCACTGAAACAGTAAAGCGGAAAAATGGAAAGTGGGGATAAGTGAAAGTTCTCGAACGACCCATAAATAGTCATCTCTCGGAGGAATCAGTCCAGTCATCACCCGAAGACGATTGTAGATACTAACAATCGAAACGTCGTGAACTAACGTGGCTTGGAATCTCTTAACTTTTTATTTATATTATCTGTATTTCTTTATTTTTTGTTCAATCGTTTTAATTTTACTTGTATTTTATTTCACTATTATTTCATTTCAGGTTATTTTTGCTTAATATAATTGTTATTTTCAGCTATTTATTGTTAATTCTTCTTCTTCAGTTGTTTCGGGGATTTCAAATTATTTTACATATTAGACAATGGAAGTCCGAACTAGTGAAATTCATCATGAAACATTGTCAATCACCTTCAAACAGAACTTTTAGTATTGCATACTGTCTGCTATCGTGATAGACATCTTCAGTGATATATGTTGACCGTCTCTACTTCCTTAAATGATATTGAAAAATTGCTTATCGTCAAATAATGGATGTTTGGTTGATATTTTCTTCAATAAGTAGTTTGGGAATCTTCTGAGTGGTGAGTTAAGAAACTCAACAGGTAAAGCATTGCATAGCTTAATTCATATCTAGTTCTCTTCAGCCTATTAGCTTTAAAAACAAGGTTTGATTTATTTCTCATACTATATTGATGTAGGTACATCCTTATGACAGATTTCATTCCCTGAGTTCTGACAAAGAAGAAGCAAATATTTATAAACAATGAATGATTATATGGTAATCATTTGAAGTTCTTCAAATATTGGTTGGCACTTGGTAGATATTGTTTTTGACTGGAGATTTTCGGATTACAAATTAAGTGTACTTTTAGCTTCCAACTTTCCCAAGAAACTTTGGCCGTTTATAATAGGAAAATTCAAACTCAAAGTGTGTATAAAAATATATAAACACACTCCAAAAGTGGGGCAAACCGATACCCACTCGATAAAATCTCTCTTTGCATATATATAACACATTAATACTATACTTGCCTGTCTTCTATTTTCTAGACTGATTATTTCAAATTCATTTCTTAGTGCTACTGATCTAATTGTATTATAATCCGGGTATACTTTATATTTTTAGAATGAAATGTGGCATGTCCTATACTTTTATTTACTGTCCTTTTAATTTTCTAGTAGTAAAAACGTTACATAATTCACTGCTCATATTATTATCACATATTTCGAGATCACAATTATTTCGAATGGAATTTAATAGACAGAATGGTAGAATTTTACAAGGGGATAGGAAAGCTGGAGAGATGAATATTTTGAACTTCATCTGAAATATTTATCTCTTCAGCATATGTATCTCTCCTCGACATGACTATTAAACTGTTTTCATTTCAGATTACTCATTTTATATAAAATCTTTATTTTGACATATACAATATATCTAACAAATATATTTATCATGGTTGTACAACAGCTGTAACTTTTTCCAGAATAATATTCAGTTTTGAGGCTTCAAATATTATCACTTTTCTATAACGAACAGCTTCTTGATCTTCAGTTATCACATCACAGTTTCCCATCAGTGCATCTTGAACCTTGAATTGAAAACTCGCACATGCTTCCTCACAAAAGTACTCCTCCTCGGCATTACAAAATATTTCTACATCACTATCCTTTGATCTATAAGTTTTGCAAATCATAATGTAGTATGCAAAATTATAGGATGGGTGCTTCTTCTTCATTTTATCGATATGACCTTTTAGCGAGTTCAACATAGGTACCGACACAAGTGGTGGTATATTAACAAAACGCTCATTGATCAAAAGACCAACGTTATCATCAGTCATGATCTCTTTTATTATAGCCTGATTCTGTGAATCAGCATACTGGTCACAGAGTTCTTCCAATAATGTCCTAAATTTCTGTACACAAGGTGCTTTCTAAAAGTAGAAAAATATTTTCATCTTATTCATTTTGTTTAATATTATTAAAAAAAAAGAACAGTTGACACCCACCTTTTGTAAATTTAAATTCAGCAGAGTAGAAATACCAAAAACTGGACGCTCTCCACTCATGTCATCATCATCATCTTCATCACTGAATGCTTGTTTCAATGCAGTTCCTACTCCATATTGTGCAATAATTAAATCAGCCATGTTTGAAATTTCAACTAGGGCATTTAAAAATAACTGACGCAAAAACTCAGTTATAGCTTGATAGTCATCTGCTTCAATATTTCGTCCCTCAAAATCAACCATAACTTCCTAAAACAATTATATGTGTAAAAAATGATGTGTCACATTATTTGATATCAAGTATACAATAGTCCGTTATCAAAATTGGGAAGTCAAAATAGTAGTAATACGATATTTCTCCATAAATATTTACAAATGAAAATACCTGTAGAAAAAATTGTTCTGACTAGTATAACTGTAGAGAATTTTAAGTATCCTACCAACCCCGATTTTCTCTATAATCATGACTCCGTCCGTGAAAGTTCAAAATGTCGGCAAAAACTAAATTGTTGATAGTCTCGGTGTGCATTTCACTATTAGAAAAGCTCTTATTGAATGACTGAATTCCCATTGAAAAATTCCATAATTCAATCATAGGGTATGATAATCAATAGAAAATTTCAAACGACTCTGCAAGTGAAGTTGGGAAGATACTTTTCTACACAGGCTGTTGATATGTGGTTTCCAACTCGAACTGTCATCAAAAGTAACTCCAAGCAATTTGACTGACATAGATTATCATATGATTCTGTTGGACGAGAATATTATACATCGAATTTTACGTTTTTGGAGTTCAACACATTTGTTGTTAACCATATTAGACCTTCATTAACTGAATGGATAGGTCGATTACTTCAAGAGAGATGAATTTTTATGAAATTGGATTAGGAAAGTATCAACTGCATAACAAACACTAAAAGCTGTAGGTGAGAAATTTAAAGATCAATTAATCAAAGACAATTGGTCTTGATCGAATAATTGAATAATGTGATCAAAAACAGAGTTTTCCTCATTACCTCTTGTCCTTGATATTCCTCAGAATCACCCTCTTCTCCTGAAGACTCGCTTTCAGATTTAGGATCTACAGCAGGCTTCGGCCTTTTACTTGATCCAGCCATTTGTTAATATAACTAAAAACGATAGAAAATTAAAAATAAATGCAACTTATAACCTAAAATAATTTACAGGTTAACTTGGACAGACTTGGAGTTAACCTATATGTATTTGCAAAGGACGATTCCACACCCCTATTCAGTGTTGCCACTATAAAATATTCGGGTCTGAATCGACTGACATTCTCTAGCCCTTTTTTTGGAATAATTCAAAGTCGTAACAGATAGAATTTGTAATTTTATAGATTCCTGGATGTTCCCGGATATATGAATCGAAGTATTAAAGTAGATATGAACAAAAATAAAAAATCTAAGGAAATTTTACTTTTTAGGTTGTTCAATTGTTCGAAACCTGTCACAGTTCTGTGCCTGTCACCTATATATGTTTATCTGTTGTCACAAACATAGCATTTCAGTCATTTCAGTGTTCAGTTTGTTTTTGCCGAGTAGTTACGTTTTGATAGTGTATTCTGTGGGTGTTGTATGATATCTTTTTCCATACCATCATTATTACCAGAGGATGTTCCAAGTGCCCTATTGAAAGACAATTTATTGATTGAAGACCATTCAGTTGCAGAACTCCAAAGATGGTTAGACTTTTTCTATCAGAACGATCCTGTTCTATTGAATACAATAAGCAATAAATTATCACTATTAAACAACGTACAAACTTAAAATTCCTAGGATTTTTTTGTCGATATTCACTTTAATACTTCGATTCATATAAAAAAACTTGGAAAGTTGACTTGGGTGTCACACCAATAGGTGGTTCTACTTATGTTTCACTTGCATTTACGCAGCTATTTTTATAAAGTACTTTTCTGGTTTTTCACATTTTGTCTACTTCAGTTAAAAGGGGAAGGAGGCCGGGCTTCAACCTGAATAAAATCAAGATGGATTACATTTTGTCTTCAATCAAGGACCGCCTGCCCGGTACTGACGATGCCCAATAGGCTGAAACAGCTGTCTACCGGTGGCTCTTAAATTTAAATCAATATGGAAATGATCAGAAAGTACTTATCTATTTATCTTTTGACTTTCATGGAATTATTTTCCAGCAGCTTGACTGCATTAACCTTTGTCAATTTCATATCATTTCTAGAAACATATGGATTCGTTTTCCGATGGCATTTCAGGTTAGCTTCCCAAATTTCTGCTACCGCAGTTGTCGGTTGGTTGGTCAAACTACCAACACTGACATAAAAAACTTGGAAAGTTGACTTGGGTGTCACACCAATAGGTGGTTCTACTTACGTTTCACTTGCGTTTACGCAGCTATTTTTATCAAGTACTTTTCTGGTTTTTCACATTTTGTCTTCCAATCGAGGACCGTCTGCCCGGTACTGACGATGCCGAATAGGCTGAAACAGCTGTCTACCGGTGGCTCTCAAATTAAAATCAATATGGGAATGATCAGAAAGTACTTATCATCTATTTATCTTATGAATAGGTATCTAAAAATGAAAAAGAACTCTCTAAAAACTCTATGATACATAGGGAGACGTGAAAGTTGCTATTGTCAACCAATTTCCAGGGCCGTAATTTAAAAGGTAATAATTCATCCAATTATAATCAAATATTACCGAAACATCCCGAAACATAAAATAAAATTCAATTTCTCAGTATAAAGTGAACGTCTACGATACAAAAACTACAACAAAAAATACAGGTCCGTATTTAAAAATTCAAAGATGGGGGTGGCCCATGTCGGGTGACACCCTATATAAATGATTCATGGACATATTCTGATAGCCCACATCAAGTGCAAATAGCAAAATGTTGACAGATTAGTAATCGAGAACAGAATGTTTTTGTTTGGGTTCTGCAATCCAAATAATGTCAAATTAATTCAAATTGTGGTGAAATGCCCCTGAATAAGGAATTAGCTCTTCCTTATTTTGTGTTCGGCCTCTGCTTTTCAGTTGGAAACAATTTCAAATATTCGGATTAATTTTTCCCGCCAATTGAAAATTTGTATTCGCACCAATCAGAAAACTTGTGGATCGTCGGATCTTCGAATGATGGAGCTCTGGGAATCTAGCCTTAATTGGCGAAAAAAGCGCCGCCAGGTGGTTTTGTCATGTCATATCAACTTGTCAGTTTGTCAGTGGCGCTGGCGATGTTTAGTGTTGTGAGCAAGACAGTAAATAAAAATGGAAACCAAATAAATAGCATTTAACATATAACCGTTTGGTATATGGTTTTGATTGAAATACACATTTATCCTTTGAATATGCTGGTAATTTTCAAAGATATTCTGTTGGTTTATGTGAAATATAAATCCAACAAAAATATATAAATTATCATCAATTGCCGAATTTGGTGGAATATTGTAAACAATGGATCTAATGGGAATGGGTGACGATCGTGTTTATGCTGCCGAAAGGATTACAAGAAAACGCGTTCGAAAGGTAATACGCTTTATAGTTTGAAAAGAAGTTCAGATGAAGAAGAACAACAATTCGAATTGACAAAAAAAATGAATATAAAGTTGTATCATTGGAAGAGTTATGTGACCTTCTACTTATATTCCCTAAAACTGAATATTGTGTTGTCCTTGACTAGATTTCTTTTCCACTAGAAATGACTTGGGGTCAAACCATTGGGTCATTAAACATCTAAGTAGTTGTGAAAAAAAATTTGGTCTAAAATCTGTACTTTCTTCTTGCAACATTCATGCACAAGCATAAAAATTATACCTATATATTTATTTACTCATTATAACTATATGCATGAATCATAAATTTTTCAATAGTAAATGGAAAACATAAATTATTATGACATAAAACTTGTGACTTATCACTTAAAACCGGTGCCTGATACCGAACACTAATTCACATATTACAATTCTAATAGACTGTGGTCAAGAAACTTAACTTTTCAAAAAATCAGATTGTTGTTGATGAAGTTGAAACTAGATCTCAAAAACAAAGTAGTTTTGATTCAACATCAGACAGCACAGTTTTGACTTGCCTTAAGACTCATCAGTGGTGCTAAGCTGAACCTCAAATGCATTTCGAGACTTAACTGTCCTTACAGAACAAACCTGAGTAGGTAGAAGTGATGACAAAGCGGTCAGTTGTAAAGCCAAGCTTCAATATTGACTTCAGAACAAGATTTGTCTGTTTTTCTCTGCAGCTATCCTGCAAGGCAACAAGTTAAAATCAGAGCCCAAAAATAAAACATTTTTTCGTTTGATCACTCTGTATGTGGTGTTTGTTCTTATCCTCAATTGCACTTTTTCAGTCCTATCTACAAGATCAAAAACAATATGTCCAGCTTTATGGTTTCAAGTCTACAGAATACAGTGCTTCTTCCGGTGTTCCACCAGGGTCAAATCTGGGACCACTGCTCTGCAATATCTTCATTAATGATATTGCAGATGTTATAGATGTATATTTCCTTTTATATCTCGATGATCTAAAACCATACTGCCTCGTGGAGAACGTAGATGATTGTGAGAACACACAAACATCCTAATCTTTGATTATTCAATAGAAAACGTTTCCCTTGAAAAACCAGAAACATTTACTGATCTTGGCGTCATATTTGACACTGCATTATCATTTAATAAGCATATTGATAATGTTGTAACCTCCTCCTGTCGTATATACGGATTAATTACATGTAATTACATGTAACATTTAATAAGCATATTGATAANCCAATACGTTTTGAACCATCAAAAACCTCATGGGAACTGACTCACACTTTTTCCGCCTTCCCATGCACCGTTTGTGATGGGTCATTCTCCACTCCTCGTCCTGGATTACTGTAGGTCGACCACTTCGGGGCTCATCTTCGAGGTTAAAATCTCCGGAACGAAATTTCACAAAACAACGTCGAACAGTGCGTGTATTAACACTATCATTACCAAATGCCTGATCACAAAACTTTTGAAATAAGCTGATAATTCAAATATTTTCCTTTCCATGCTAATTATGAAAGGAAAAGGTGAAAGTTGTGTCTCTATGGGAATAATCCCAGAAAATAATGCAGAAGTCTATTCCACTACCGAAAACATTGTAAGTCATTGTATTTTCCATTATTGAGAATGACAAATGGTAGTCTGCACCTTCCGTGTCCGATTGCCATACTGAATCTCGCCCATTTATTTAATTCACATGTAAAAATGTAACTGAAAATTAATGAAGAACTTTATTATTATCATTTTATATGGCACATTTCATCAGAATTCTCTCTTTATTTGCCACATGCAATTATTCAGTTCAGTTTAACTTTTCATTTATCATCTGAAATATAGTCGATTCCATCAATTATGGTTATGATTAATTATCATTTTCCAATTGAAAAAAGTTCAGGATGAATTTCATGCAATTACAAAGNTTAAACAAATTTATTTCCGACAATATTTCACTAATCACAATCTAATTTATTCATTACAACCCTTAGCAACTAACGCTTAATTTATTTCCACTATTTAAATTTCTTTTTTAGCCACTCGATTCACCTTCTGAACTGCCCTCTTAGGACAGGAAGCCGGGCTTATATCGGTAAAGGTCCTTTCTAGAATTCTGTAGTCAGTTCGGTACTAGAATTTTGATTCCCGACTGCATTCTTTTGAGGTGAGGTCATGTGTTTGTTCGATGAGTCGGCTGGCCTATCGGTCAGGGGACAGATAGGTCCCCTGACCGATTATAGTGGAATCTGAGATAATTCAGTCGATCTCAGGGGTTTATCTAGGGTAAGATGGGTTAATAAGGGTTTTGTGTGAAACAGCTATCACATCTTTAGGAACAGCAATCCTCTGAAGTCATTAAGAGGCTGCTCACCAGTTCAACTGAATAAGCTACTGTGTAGTGAAACACTTCTTGAATAAAGTTCATAGTGTGAAAACTTTTTTCTTAACATTCCATAACTTTTTAACGTTCTGCATAGGCACTTTATTGAATATTTGCAGCAATTTTTTTTTTGTCGGTGTATCATTATCTGTGTGATGAAGTGAGCACATATTTTCAGCTGATACCATAAACTCCTTTGTTGTTCAGGCCTTCAGTTTTTAAATTTGATTTTTGTTTGGGAAAGACATTTTCATAAAAGTTTAACAGATTTGAACAAAACTTTCAAATGTATCTGATGCTGCTGAAGTACTGTTCCAGTCAAA